TCCTGGAGAAGATGGAAGGTTGCGCAATATCGTGGATTGATTGAATAAAATTAGACATTACTGTGGTCGGATGCCGACTAAATGGTTTAAAGGTTAAGCGTTCTCGCGCGAGATTGAATGCTTTTGACTCTAGTAATGCGTGTGAGGTTATGAATGTACACTGTGTATGGATTTCATACTGTTGTTGATTGCTCCTACCTTTCCGAATGTTGTTAACTTAGATCAACTCGTGATTTCAACTTTGAAAATACTACAATCTCTACAAATCATTATACTGGTAACTCTTTATGTATCAGCACCCAGTGAATTAGAGACATAATTAGCAAACTAAAAAGGATAACACAATCAGATGGCGGTAAAGGTCATTTCTTAAATGTGAATTTAAAAATATCATCGAGTTTATCCTTTAAAGACAGAACTAACATATAAAACAAAAAGCCCAGATAACCTGAAGTCTTTTTAACTGTCTTTATCATTTGTGAAGTAGAGCTGTATTGTACAGTTAACACCAGTTAAATAAATACTAAGTGTTGAAATTCATACTATTAAGGACATAGGGACAGTTTTCAACATAAGAAAATGATTAATGATGGTAAACTGCTATTATGGGTAACTAATAAAGGTCAAACTTTCACTGACTAAAGAATACATGTTACCAGGAACATGGTCCTCTAAATTCAAATGTTTCTATAGTCGAACAGAGTACTTGTAAATGTAGCAGTAATCCTAGTCAACTATATTTAATTCACCAAATATCAAAGATTATTATTTTTTTATCAACTATGTGTACAGCCTATAGAAGATATGTCAAAAATCATTGTTAAAAATAATAGCCTTTAACCAATAACTAACAATTAGTCTCAACGAATCTTAAGCTGATAAATTCTAGAGTTTGTGTATATTTATTGAAGATGATGAAGACAACTAGTGTACCAGTAGCCACTGAATCAGTAACCCTCAACATACACAAAGGAAAAAGGACGATCCCCAAATTTGACACAGGAAACACCAACCCAATCACTCTGGGAGATATGGAATCTTTCACGTACAAAGGAAGCATCATCGATGTGGAGGCATGAATTTTTAAGGTATGGACGGTATTCCTACAACTGAACATATGGAACTCAGAACAACTGTCAGCCAACATTAAAGTCAAAATCTTCAATACAAACGTCAGGGCAGTTCTACTGTACGGAGCTGAAACTTGGAGAACTACAACAGCCACCATCAAGAAGGTACAAGTATTAAAAAATGGTTGTTTACGCAAGATACTCAACATCCATTGGTCGGATACCATAAGCAACAGCCTTCTGTGGGAGAGAACAAACCAGATTCCGGATGAGGAGGAAATTAGGAAGACGATGGAAATGGATAGGACATACATTACGCAAATCACCAAACTGCATCACGAGGCAAGCGCTAACTGGGAATCCTGAAGTGAAATCGTGAAAGCGGAAAGCCAAACTACATACTACGTCGGGAATCGGAAGCAGATATGAAAAGAATGAATAACAATTGTAATGAAATGGAAAGTATTGCCGAGGACAGGGTTGAATGGAGAGTGCTGATGGTTGACCTATATTCCCCGACGAGGTGTAACAAGCGCATGTTAGTATGTAAGTGAGTAAATCATTTCTAGCTTCTTATACTTTTCAAATGAATCTCGATATGTAATATCTACCTTTTTATATAAAGATAATAACTGGTTTGATACAATTAACTAAAGTTATATTAACTTCTTTGTTTTTCAATAAGCCAGCTTTCATATACATGTGTTTAAAACATTATATCTTAATGATTCACAATTTGGATAATGTAGATTTCAATGGACAGATATTCATGTATAAAGTTTCCGATATAGATGAAATATCTATTAAGCCATTTGTATACTTATTAATGATTATTCAATGAATAGTAATCTGTTAAAGTATACCATTAAAGATTGAGGTGAATCTAGTTTGAATTCTTTATAATTAAACAGTAATATGTTCTGGCGAAAGAATAAACATTTATTTGATAGTAATTTAACTCATTTCACAGATTTAGGTGATCAAACAATTGTTCAATGATATCAGAGATGAGTTTTATGGATATTATAGTGATTTTAATAGTTGAGATCATGAGTCAATTGAAGATAGGTAACCATGGAAAACCTGAGAGCATTGAACGGCCTTTTTTTCCTATTGTGGGACTCCCCACCAATGTGTATCCACGGTTCCATCCCCCGGATTCGAACCCGTGACTCATCAGTTTCGCACGCGAACGCTTAACCTCTTAACCTCTGAGCCTGCCGGCATCCAACGGTGTTAATGTCTAAATTCAGTTATTCCACGAAATTCAGCGACACATCTACCATTGTCTTCAGTGAGTTACTATCTCACAACAGACCTGGTTGAACTCCACTGTTCACTGCTTTTCACTAGAACTCCAAGAAATACCTCTTGAAGCCAGTTACTAGTGAGCATATAATGATTAATATTAAAAGGGGTTTTGTGGATATCATAATGATTTTAATAGTTGAGATTATGAGTCAATTAAAGCTATATCACCATGGAAAACCTAGAAGCACTGGTCGACCATTTCTTCCTATTAGGTGACTCCTCAGCAGTATGCAACCACGATCCTGTCTCGTGAGATTCGAACCCAGGACCAATCAGTTCACCTATGAGTTAGTCTAGAAATAAAGTAGTGATTCTATGGGAAAACAGATCAAGTCAATAATTTATAATCATCTGGTTTGATTTGTCTTCAAAACTATCATTTGTAAACATACTGTTTAATGTTAGTTTATAGTTTCAACTACATTCAGATTAGTGTCCAGATGATTCTAACCTTATACTCTTATATATATATATAAATTTCAAGAATCAATAAGTGAATCAACAAATCAAGGGATTTAAAAATTGGACAATACGGAACTTATTATTATATCTACTTTGTATATTTTAAAGTGGATCGCAAACAGTCTTGTTTATTTAAAAGAAAAACCAGTTGGGATTGACTGATCACGAAATAAAGACAATAATAGTTCAAATTTGATCGATTTAATTACATGTAATCACTTTTCTAAGCGACTTGATATCGTTTACATGGTGTTAAGATCTTAAATAGCTCATGGCAACTGGCAAGAAACCTTAGATCTAGGTTTCCTGCTTATTGATACTCGTCAACTAACTATACCTGCAATCATGTGAAGCTGAATGATGGAGTTTTGAATCCGACTGGAAGTAAAATGTATGCATGTATATCTTGTTGACGAGTATCAACAGACAAGAAACCTAAGCCGAAATGAGTTTTCATTCGACTACCTACACCTATATAACATTAAAATCAATGGATATATTTTTTGCTTCAATTTAATTAACTTACTGACATTTTTTTTATTTCAATGAATTTCCTAAGTAATTGGTTTAGAATTTAGTATTTCGTGATGATTTATTTAAATAAAGATTACATTTTAAGTAGACTGTAATATAGAGATATAGTAAGAAATGATGTTTTGAATGAGAATTTAATCTTTATCTTATGGTCAGTTTTGTTCGAAGTAAAGACTGGTGTCAGTCGAGGTTGCTTACTCTCACCCTTTCTCCTTGTCCTCGTCATCGACTGGATCATGAAGACGTCAACATCTCAAGGGAAGTACGGGATACAGTGGGCAGATAGGATGCAGCTAGACGATCTAGACTTCGCAGATGGTCTGCCTCTTTTACCGCACACGCAAAAACAAATGCAGGAAAAGACGATCAATGTATCAGCAGCCTCAGCAGAAGTAGGTCTCAACATACACAAAGGGAAAAGCAAGATTCTCTAATACAACACAACATGCAACAATCAAATCACACTTGAAAGAGAAGCTTTGGAAAATATGAAAACCTTTACATATATGGGAAGCATCATCGATGAACACAGTGGATTTGATGCAGATGTGAAAGTGCGGATCGGCAAAGTAAGAGAAGTATATCTATAACTGAAGAACATCTGGAACTCAAAACAACTGTCTGTTGACCAACATCGATATCAGAATTTTCAATTCAAATTTCAATACAATTCTACTGTATGTGGCGGAAACTTGGAGAACCACGAAAGCCGTCATTCAGAAGATACAAGTGCTTATTAACAGTTGTCTACACAAAATACTTCGGATCTGTCGGCCAAACACCACCAGCGACAGCTTACTGTGGGAGGGAACAAACCAGATTCCAGCAGAGGGAGAAATCAGGAAGAAGCGCCGTGAGTGGATAGGACACACATTGAGGAAAGCACCGAACTGTGTCACACGACAAGCCCTCACATGGAATCCTCAAGGCGAAAGTAGAAGAGGAAGACCAATAAAACATATTACGTCAAGAAATGGAGACAGACATGAGATGAATGAACAGCAATTGGATAGAAGTAGAAAGGAAGTCCTAAGATATAGTGTATTAAAGAATGCTGGTCGGCGGCCTATGCTCCAACGGGGCTAATCATAAGTTTTAATCTGAAAGGTGTTTCCGAAGAACATGAAAAAACTATGTTTCTTCAAAGAGTCATATTCGGAAGGATAATCAATCCTTCAAATTATTATTTAATGATTAGATGGTTATTAAAGAATTATATTAAAAATGTCCTGAAGATAGATACTATCATGTGTAGTTTCATTTTCTCGTTTTCCCCTCCATTTGAAATATATTGTCATCTTATATAATATTAAGTAAATCATATGGTTACATAAATGTTTGTCTTTTTTAATTACTCTAGGTACATTACGTCAAGAAATGGAGACAGACATGAAAAAAAATGAACAAAAATTAGATAGAAGTGGAAAGGAATGCCGAAGACAGAGTGGGTTGAAGAATGCTGGTCGGCGGCCTATACTCCATTGTGAGTAACAGGCGTAAGTAAGTTTGTTCAGGAAGTCATTTTTTATAAGCTAAATATCTTAACTCTTTGTTATATTTATCTATCAAATTGTAATAAATTTACCATTGAAAATTACTATGTAAACAATAAAAGACGTTCACTTGAATGATTGCGTTTGTTCATATTCAACAAGATATATCCAGATGTTCTTGTGATATTTGAAAATATTACGAGATCGTTTAAATCTGTGAACGGAACGAAGACTCAGCGACAAAATGACCAGATAATCTAACTATTCCAATGCATCCCAGCCCCACTAACTAAAAAGAGAATTTCAGGTCAGAAAAGGGAAATTGTACTCCACAAGCAGCCAGAAGCATAAACAATAACAACAACAAGCACAGCTGAAGCGTATATATACAGCATAAATGTGTCCTTGACAAGCATTACAAAATAGTATAATAAAAGAGACAACGGACCAATAACATTTGATGTTCTGTCAAGCGGGAAATACAACTTGAGGTGAAAACGGGTGCTTTTGGCGCGAAAACAAGAAATTCAAAATTCGAAAAATAAGACATTTACCAACTGCGTTTTAAGTATCTAGCATCCTCAACAATTCTACACCAATCACTAATAACTTACAATATCGTATATAAGAGATCAGTAGAAGTATAAGTTTTCTCCAAGTTTGAGATATAAAGTATTCAAGAAAGCAATTACCTAATCGTTTCGCTTTTACACTAATTCTAAATAACTTCAAAAATGATACACAAAATCAGGGTATCTTCACAAATTCTCTTAATATTATTTACTTGAATCTTCCCATGGATGTTTAAGCATATGTGCATTGCATCGATATTGTCTCAAGTCACATGCATTATGAACAAAGATGGATAGTGGCTAGCAGTGGAATCCAGGATACGCGTTTCGACCTACTTGAGACTCGTCAGCTAGATGCACCTTCATCTGAGGGTTGATGTTCACTCCGGGACTCGAACCCAATACCGTTCGCTTCAAATAATATCGTGTTATCTACCCAGTTATTGAGCCCTGATAGCCACTTACTTGTGCAGAACTCAGTTGCTAAGTAGATAACACGATAGCATTTCAAGCTAACGGTACCGGGTTCGAATCCCGGAGTGAGATGAGAGTATATCCAGCTGACGAGTCTCAAATAGGACGAAACTCTCGTCCTGGATTCCACTGCTAGCCACTATCCATCTTTGTTCACATCTTCAAAAAATGTTTCCACAATATTACACAACAATTAAATTGTACTTAGCAGTAATCATTTCATATTTTCTCATCAGAATGGTAACAAACACCGATCAATTAACAGTTTTCTTTATTTTTCTCTTTAGACACATTTATTTCTTACACATTGTATTTGTCTAAAAACTATATCATAATTGGTAAATTCTAATTTTAAGACTAAAATCCATCATGATATTTATAGGTGGTAGATGTTATTACAAATTATTTATTGATTAAATTAAAGAAAACATAACAAAAATAAATGAGTAATTGTTTACAAATTATCTAATCATTGATAACGCTAATCATTATTATCAGTCTTCGTATGGGACTCCTTAGGAGTGCGCATCCATGATCCTGCCTTGCGGGACTCGAACTCAGGATCTATCAGTTTTGCGCAGGAATGCTTTACCTCTAGAATGGTATATCCTGGGTTCAAATCTGGCGGGGCAAGGTCGTGGATGCACGCTACCGAGGAGTCCCATACTAAGACGAAACGGTCGTCTAGTGCTTCCAGGTGGTCTTTCATGGTAATCTAGCTTCAATTGGCTAATAATTAGTTGAAAATGTTTTCTTATCCAAGTTCAATCTCTAAGCAAACGGCTTTCTAATCTAAACTATTATATCTATTATTAGAAGGGGATTTAATTTATTACTTTGTATATATTTTTGACTGAACTATGGTTAGTCTTAGTTGACATATGTATAACCTGTACAGATTGGCTCAATATAACAATTTTTCTCAGATTCTTCTTTACAAAATAAACGAATTGCGTCTTGTAATAGAACTCAGAACGTGCTCTTCGTCCTAATGTATTAATCAACACTACTATGGAGTTACATCCAGTTGACAAGTCTTAAGTAGGACAAAATGCACATTCTAGACTTCAGTGCTATCCATGATCTGTCTATTTGAATAACAGGTGTAAGTAAGTAAGACAGTTTTACTGTTAGTTTGTTGATTTATCATTCCAGTTTAATTTCTGTAAACTTATATTGTATGCGACTCATATTGAAAAACACAAGTAGTATGTAACACCAACCAGAAGTGTAATGCCTGGCAGCAGATGATTGAGAAGATCGAATTAAAGAACATTAAGATGTAAACAAAGAGTAATTGTAATAGCAATGAAGGAACTATGGAGTTTAAGATAATCGATGGATAGTTTGCAAATAATTACGGAGGAACTCTGTAAATTCACATTAAATAATGAATTAGTTGACGAGTCTATAATTTACGGACGAACCAATCAGATATACGATAATGAGTCACGAATTTCGGCACGCAATTCATCTATACATTTGGCTAAATAGAGTTTTGACATTATAGCTGATGTCAGTTCGTGATGAAAACTCCTAATTTGATTTTTTTAACCCTAACTATCAATTGTAAATGAGAATTCTAACTGCTTTATATGACCCTCATTTAGTCCTAATCAATAAGTGTCCATTCTCAAGGTCACTTCAGTATTGTTCCAAGGTCGTCCATAAATTATAGTCTCACCGATTAGTTTTCCTCACCAAGTCTTCTGCATTACAAACTTAGTATTTATTATTTGTTAAATACTGTGATCTTAGTTAATTATACTATTTAGTATTAGGGAAAGATGGTAAATCAGTTGATGAGGTTGTGAATCTTCATCGACTGAGATGGTTGGGTCACGTGTTGCGTATGCCCGAACATCGATTACCACGACGTGCAATGCTAACCGGTGTTCGAGATGGTTGGAAGAAAGTTAGGAGCGGCCAAACCAAAACGTGGCATCAGTGCTTGAAGTCACTAACTTCTAGCGTGAGTCATGTTGGTAGATGCAGACTACTTGGTTGGGGTCCGCGTGACTATCGTAACCAATGGTTGGAGATTCTTGGTGACGTGGCTCAGAAACGATCGCAATGGCGTTGGTGTATACACTCTCTATCTTCCCTTAAACTAAGAGATTAAAATCGCTCGATATCTTTCTTTCTACGAACTAATTCTTTCATCCTGTACTATATCCTTATTGTAATCTTTCTCTTATATATTACCACCTCTGAATTAACTACTGTTCTGAATCCGGTGTCCACCTTGTTGTGTTAATGAAGTATGGCAACTTGAACCGACGCATATATGTGCCTGGTTCTACGTTGTAGCTGACTGACTGACTGACTTGGTCATATTCTAAATGACAGTTCTTTTTTTCTTTGAACAACTAACTAACTACTTAACTTCCTAATCATTAGTAATATCTCCTGTATAATAACAAATCTATTGTTATTATCCATAATTAGATTTAAACGAAATCAAAAACCCAATTTCTTTTCATTTGATTATTCCAAAAATTTATTTAATAGTACATAATAAATTATTCTGTCTAAAAATTTAACTCTCCACTTCACCTCTTTTTCTATGTTACTAAGGTTACTAAAGACTAGAAAAGGATTTAATTATATTATTATTGTACCTACCATATCCATGACCTTGAAATGAAGGTTATACAAAACAAGTTACATTTTAATCCTTTTACTATAGTATATCAAATGTAAACTCTTAACAAAGTTTAAGTATTTTGAAAGGTATTTAAATTATATAATAATCTATGAGTACATAGTACAATATATAATGAATGATTGACTTTATACCTGTTGCTCTATTATCTAAGTGTTTAGTTAATGGAATAAATGTCTAACAATAACATGATTGTGTTATTATATGATTAAAATGGTTGTTATTTGTGTAACATAAATCATTATCAGAATGGGTTTAGTGGAGATTTTTAGAAATTTCACTGGTTCGAATCTCGCGGGAGGCGGGATCGCGGATGTGCACTGCTGAGGAGTACCATACTAGGACGAAACGGCCATCCAGTACTTCCACGTTTTCCATGGTGGTCTAGCTTCAATTGACTCATGATTTCAACCAATAACATAGATTATTCCATTTAGGTTAGGAGAGTTTTAATTATTAGATTGCAATTAGATATATGAGTTACTAATGGACATAATTGTTTAAACGATATATAGACATTTTAAACCGAACATTATTTTCAAGTCTAGTTTTGTTGTCAATGAACATTTCATTGTTAAATTAGTTATAAAATTGAATGAAAACTTGAATATACTTGAAATGATTACCTATTTGTGAAGAAAATAACATACTAGCAAGAAGAGAGTGAAATATAACAGAAAGTATCTTTACAGTGTTGCTAAGGTAGTATGGGAAACCTTACTAGGTAACCTGAACAGTTGAAGGTGATCAGACTTAGTCACCGCTCTGCTGTAAATCAGATTAATTGAGTTCCATTGTATGGGTTCTCTGAAATCTTGGAGGCTGCTTGATGTGTATGCTTATGTCTATGAACTGAATGAATTTTGAATTGTATGATTTATGTGCTTAAGTTTATTCAAAGGGTATGCATCTGGATTAGCACAAGGAAGGTAAGCTGGAAAATGTCTCCCCTATGTCTAATAAGGTCGGTGGCATAATCTTTCAGGAAGACGACGAAGAAATATGGTAACCAATATGAGAAAGTGGTAACCATCAACCTTTCCTGAAAGAGAGCTCATGCTTATGTGTATGTCAAGAAGTGAAGAAGTGAAAGCCTTTGTATCAATGATATGCATAAATAACAGTTAGCTGTAGCGAATACGTTCAAAGGAAGCTGTGACCACCTATCTTCCCAGGTGGGATGCATGGGGAAAAACGTACGTGATACCAGTGTGCATGTAACCTATATTTGCTTACGAGGTCAGTATACTTATGTGTACGCCAAGCGATTCATAGATGAAAACTTGTGTTACCGGTACGCATGTAGACTATGTTTGTCCATGTTGCGACGCTTGTGCGTTATTACATGGAAGTAACGATTTTCTCACAAAATCACATCGACGTGGTGCATTTAAGAGCCTTGGAAAATGAAAACCATTTCCAAAGAAGCCAATTGGCTTCACCAGATAATGCTTGACCAACCTTAACACATCTGTAACACCGTATTGTACCAGCATGAATATGTGAAAACGCTGTCAACTATTACAAACTGATGATGGTATATTGGGGCATAGAGCGATCCAGATCTGAGAAAAGTCA